AGAAAGCATAATGCTGCCAATGTTGCTCAATACTAGTACTGCTAATTCCGCTTGTATATGTGCGCATGGATCCCGTAGCAGATTGATTATTCTGTGTAGTGCATTACAGTTTCTACTATTGTGTTGAACTACGTGGATTCATTGCTAGTCAATTGAATTACTGCAACACTAGTGGTTATTTCCAAGCGTTTGTTATGAGTGGGTGAACCGCAGCCTGCATCCTCTCAAGGAGCACTGGCTTTGAGAGAAATCGTTCAAGTAGGTAGCGTATTAAAATTTTGTAACAAAAGGTTATTTTGTGCGGTTCCCCTCAGAAATTTGGGTTGAAATCGGATTGAAGTTATATTTGAGAAGGGCACTACAGGGGTTAACGGACGATGATGTGCCCACAATACCTTTGAGAAGACGATGGGGGAATTGGGCAAGGCTGACGGGGTGAAAAAGGGGAAAGAGGGTGAGGAAGTGTTGTGTTGTTTGGATGTAGTTCCGCGCATAGTTCAAACATCAGCGGGAATTGTGTTTGCCCTGCTTTGTTGAGTTGGAAGTTTGATTAGGTTGCGGGTTGGCTCTCCTTCAGCCCAACTGTCCATTGACAAAAGATCTTGATTTAATTCATACAATATATACCAGACAAACATAGAGGTGCTACTGGCTAGTAAATCTTGGCGAGCATAGACATTTATGCAAAATAAGTTTAGATTAAAACATTCAAAAATAGACGCAGTGGCGTAGCCAAGGAGTTGTAGGCGCGTTTGTGGAGAATGCGCATAGGGGTGGGAAGCTAATTCCAATTTTTCATTGTCAACTTGTTGCGGAAAATATGTCGTCAGTTAACGAAGAACTCATAATAAAAACTTGATCGACACCTACTTTTTTCAGCTCCTGTTTCACAGTTTTCTTCCTTCTCCCCATCGGTACAGCTCGCAACTTCTCCATTCTTCTCTGCCTTGTGTTCTCCGCTTTCGAGTGCTTGTACAATTGTTCAAGTAATTTTTCCAGTCCTACTGGCCGTTTCCTCGAAGTTGTTTGTAACTGTCATCGGTACCAGTCACTGGACTGCGTTGCTTGAGTCAGCAGACTCTGCCTTGATAACATCGTTCAGTTTCAGATCGGAATTACAATAATTTCTTGGAAATATTTGCATCGTACTGACTGCCAGACTTTGATAACATTCTATAGAGATAAGCATGTTGGAAAGGCGAACGCTGGCTCTGAGCTTTCTGGCTGTGATTTTGACTGATTAAGTATCTAAAATCATCCATCACGAATCTGCTGGATTATGTGCCGATAAAAGCGCTTTTATAAACTCAATAAAATCTATTTATTTAGTGATGGGATGCAAAACTTCCCGAGGAGACGGCTACGCCACTGATACAATGAGATCAACGGGATATGCGTGAGCGTCACACACACACAGGGCAATCCATGTTCCATGAATAATAACTTCTGGCATGGCATTATTCAGCTCGCAATTAATACAATAAAGAGCTGCACGCAACAGGGTTGCCAGCGCGATTATGCGTTTTCCTTCGATTTCGTGCATCATATAAAAACCATAACAGTATGAGCCTGCACTGCTTCACAATTTGATCTGTGCAGTCATATTGGAAATATTCATATTAGTTTTTTCTTCCGCGTTCGAGAAAGAGGGCCACTGGTTAAGCAAATTGGGTTATGTTGTGGGCTTCTTGGAATTTCGGATTTCAAACGTGTCTGCTTACCGTGGGAGGAAAGTGCCGACAATTTTGCAGGTGAAAATAGTTGTGTCTACAAGCAAAACGTGAGTGCAGTGAAGGCTCATTTTACAGAAATGGGAATATGTGTGAGCTATAAACATCTACGCAACAAAAATGCAACTTTCTTCTTGGCTATTCTGGTCCTCGGATTTAAAGGATGCCGACAATTTTGCAACCTGAAATTTGAGTGCCCATACGCGAACCGTGGACGTTCCAGAAAGTCGATTTTACATTTTTGGTGGGTGTACAAATAGATGACAGCCTCTTCAATTTCCAGTTTTTTAGTCCGCCTGAATTGAAGGAGAGGAGGGTGTTAGTAATGTTGCAAATATTTATTCGGTAGCGAAGTGCAGGCTTGTGGAAAAACTCATTCTATGCTTGCGAGCTCGAATTTAGGCAGCAAACACCGTCGCTAAATCACAGCTTTCTACTCAGTTCAGCCCCAAATTGAACTTTTATCTGCATATGCGGGAGCTGTAGACATACTTCAAAGCCAAATCTAAATTATTTGTTAGAGAGTAAACAGTATTTTAAATTCAGTTTCCTAGACTGACTGGTTCTCGAAATCGTCTCTTAAATTGTTTTTGGCATGTCTGCATACGAGAAAAAAGAAGGCGTGAACGCATGTTCTGCGTTTTGAGACTCACTCATAGTGGTTGAACGAGTTGTCAAAATCTTAGCTTCATAACTATCACGGTTCTAGAAATTGAAACGTGCGGGCAGGTGCAGACAAACAAACTCTTCACAGTATACGTTTTTGCACTTTTGATCTGTGATACAACACATAATAAATTCGAATAAATATCAATTTGAGACTAAAAAGAATGAGTAGTACTTAAAAACACGCAAAATAAAGACTTCAGTGCCAGCCACTTCATAACGATGTTATACCTAGAAACTGCTTTACTCTCTGGTGACGGCAAGATCGTCCTTATTAGAAGATGCTAGTATGATAAACAAAAAGCAGGAGAGGAGAAAGAGGCAAGAAGAAAGGGTTGAAGAATTCAAGTCGTAGAATGCAAAATTTCATCGAAAACTGGCTAAAATAAAGCCAATATCAGCAGCTGAGGCTTTACTAAATTGCATTAAAAAACAGAATGCTGAGCGAAGCAGTGCCAAATCCAGTGCTAGAATGGTAAACAGCAAGAAACATCATTCTGGCTGTTTGCTATTTATTTTAACCGTTTCAAGTCAGAGATTAGGAACTTTTCCTTATATGGAAACTGATCACCAGCCAGATACAGTGAAATTAACCAGGGAAAAGAGGAGAGGAATAATATTTTAACCGGAAGATGTTAAAAATGGGACATATCCATTTCGCCTTTTGAAGGCCTGATTCGCCACTTTTCTGTTTGACACACTGTAGAGCCTTTTAAAAAATCACCGTAAAATAAGTGTTCAAAAAGTGAGAGAATAAGAAAAAGCAGTTTTTGCTGACTGACTGACCTATAATCATTAAAAACAATAAAAAACAATTTAACAAGTGAAAAAAACTCTTTTTTTAATCGAAAAAATTTGAAACTTTTTCGAAATAGAGAACGCAGGGTAAAGAAATGTTACCAGTGCTTCCGAGAGCGCGACTACTAAATGAGTCAATTTTTGAGGTTTGAGCTTTAGTTAATTTTCATCCAGAAATACTGTTTAGATGCTGAAATGATTTCGGCATTAGTAAAATACCCGAAGATTCTTTTTTGAATACTGTTTTGAAAAACGCCCGAAACAAATGAAATTAGCAAGCTCAGGTTAAACTGACCAAAAAGGGCGACGTCAGGTATGTGCTACTGCATTATGTAAGTGCCAGTGACATCGTATTGATAACTCGGCACTAATTTTTAGGTGTTAATGCAAAGAATCAACGCGCTTCAAAGAAAGCAAAAAGCGAAAATCTTCGAAATCCCTCTGGAAAGGCTCATTTACAGACTGGCCAGAATCTGGTTTGTGCTTGATCTGCTCGCTTTCTGAGGAAATCCTTTGTTTATTTTTCACTAGTTAAAAAATAATTTACCAACTCGTCCATTTTTCGGCGTAAGCCAAAAAGAAGGATGGGTTCGTCCACTGCTAGCAATAAGCCCAGTTTTCTCATACAGCTAAAAAAAGCTTGAGATTCTATTGCTGCCGGCAGACAACTCGACGCCTTTTGCCCAGCCCATTTAAATTAAGCCTTTTTAGAAATAAAAAGCGAAGCATTAGGCTAAAATCGCCTCCTCGCTGGGCATTGTCCTTTTCTTTCCTTTTTTGAAAATCGCATAATTTTCTCCAAGTCATCAGCGTTCCATTCTAGTACAACGGTTCTTGTTCTTAGCACAATTCCTGGTCGGCTTATATCATTGGTATCGTTGCGACCTGCAAAAAATTTTAGTCGTGTCTTATAAAATAAATAAGCCTGCCGTACTACCTCAGCATGAACGGAAAAGTCTGTCTCAATTCACATTTCCATTCCTCAGCCTCTCCCAGTCCTTCTACTCTCCTTTTCCGTCTCTTTTTGTTTTGAAAGGAAAATATGAAACATTTTCAATTTCGTTTTGACGAATCATTTCAATAATTTCATTTATTATGTTTAATGTTATATTAACATAACTTTTGCATTATTGGAATGCTTGCCGAAAGCTGTTTTTTTAAAAAGAATGTTGCCATCTGAGCATCGACAAATACTGAGGAAGAGAAACATGTGTACAGAACAAATCAGTATGGAAAAGTTCATCGCAGCATCGACGACAAGGAAGAACAATACAGCGCATCAACAGTCAATTAAGATATCAAAATTTTAAAAATAATTTTCGAAAATGTCAAGAATGTCCGCTTTCTTTAAATATTTCCGAGAAAAAACCTTTCCTTGAAGAATATTATGGAATCGTCATCGAGTGGCCAGCACGCTGTGTGGATTGTGCATCAATCCTCATCACAGTTACAGTCCCTGGTCCAAATAAATTTTCAGTGCTTCACTTTGTTAAATTCAAAATTCTCTGCACCAGAAAAACAAGTTTCATGATTTTAGAGGGCGCAGAAAAACCAGTTATTTTTTCGCGAATTCAGAGAAATAATTTCGGCGCAATGTTTATGAAAGGCTTGCTGCAAATCGGATAAAATGAAAACCCAAAGTTATTTTACTGATAGAGGCTATTTTCCTGGGATCAACAGTCTGGGAAGCGGGCGCAAAGCTAGCTTGAAGGGGAAAAAGGCAGAACAAGCGCCTTCTTTTTAGATAAGCGCAGTGTTAAAAATCTCTTTTTTTTTGACCAAAAATATTAGCGGCATTTTAAAGTTGTTTTATAACAATAAACTTTCACCAAAAATTGTGGGTTCGGTGCCCTTAAAAATGAACCAACAAAAAGCGTTCCCTTTTTTTAAGAAAAGCCTAGTTAAATGGCTGAGTAGAGCCTCACCACCTACGAAAAATGCTTTCAAAAATCACAGCTATATCACCGTTTTCAAAACAAAATAAAAGATGCATCAAAATATTTTTGAAATTCACAAGCTCTTTTGAACATTGCGCCCAATATTTTTGCCGTTAAGGGAAACATGCACAAACCAAGGATGAAGTATCGTTTTCCTACGCGTATTTTCGGACATTTGCATGCTGTACGCTTTCCGGATACCCACAACGATTGCTCCCCGCGATGCACATGTACGCCTGCGTCACGTTTATAAATAGCCAGTACAGCTAGTCGATATTTGCTCCAGCCATCCACGCTTTCTCGCCCCGTAACTTGTACTTCAATCGCTGAATGCATCGTATTTAGAAACTGTGATTTTTTTGCAAACGAAAGTGCAAAAATTTCAGGGTAATTCATAGTGGCAGAAAATAAAAATCGAGCAAGGGTCGGTAAAAGTTACCGTAGTCTCTTCGGCAATATTTCTTCTGTGTCAGTCGCTTTGGTACAGCCCTGCACTTCGGACACTGGACTGAAAAACATTTTTCCTCATCAAGGTAAAATGCTATTGCCGCAAATGAGGGCAGTTTACTTTTTAATGCGTTTTGCATAAATCAAAAGCACATTATGACGAGATCATATCTGCATATGTTCTAGTAATCTGTGGTGTAAAAATTTATGTCCGATAAGATAGACAAGAATATGAATGCACGGTTTAATCGTCAGTGAATGTGCGGTTCTTTGCACAGCCTGGCATGTTTAAAGGCTGCATACCAAGCGCAAAATAACCATGAGGAAATATTATCACGCAGCGTCTACGGTGATACTTAGTAATTCGTTCGACTGGGTAAAGTAAAAAAAGCAAGAAAAAAAATTAAGGGATTTATTTACAAAAGTAAAAGTTTCTTACCATTATCTGCATTTATTATTGGTTCATTTATCGAGATCCCTGAAAAAGATTTCAGAAATCTCAAACAGCAGAACTGGACGAATGAAAAAATTTTGTTATGAAATGTTTAAGATGCATAAATGGACTTAGTTTCAAAATTGATAAAAATAACAATTTAATGTGGAAAATGTTATTATGGTCAAGCACGCCGTGTTTTACATATAAGGAAGCAGATTTGGTGGTTGTCGTGGAGCTAATTTGTGTTATTGCACTAGCAACATTTTTTTGTTCTTGCACGAAAATCTTCCAATAATTTTAACTGCGTTTATTTGTTCTTTATCTTGTTGTGGCGGATCTGCAGCCCAACACATTATTTGGGCTGAGTAGAGGGTCTAGAATCGCTTCACTCAGCACGAGCATTAGCGCTGAATGCCCGCAGCGATTGACCAGTCGACCTCGTTTGTCATGGTAACTAGTTTATTTACGCATCTTTTTAATCACCTTTTCACTAAACGGGGCGAATCATCAGTGCGCGCATGGCTGTTTTCTGATAAGTACTGACATTATCAGCCGCAGACAACAATGTAACAAGAGCATTTTTTGGCTAACAGGATACGAACATTGTTTCACTAGTGCTTATTTAGAAATTCTTACGAACTTTTGGATATGAAGCTCAAAAAAGATCACGGTGCGCAAAGGCTGGCCCCTTCTGCATCCTATACCCTCTTCTCCCCTAGTTTCTCTCCAGGGGGTTTGTTGATAAACGAAATGCTGATGAGCTGGTGGTGGGGTAGGGAAGAGAGGACCACTCGATTCCATTGTAAATTGTTGGCTATAAAAAGGGATGACGGGTGCGAGGGGCTACGGCTGGGAAAAAGTGGTTTAGAGTGCGGGATGAGAAGTGTGGGAGGGAGAGGTAAAGGAAGAGGGAGTGAAAGAGACCGGGATACAGGAACTGTTTCTGAATATCAATCAAGCTCACTGCATGAGTTAGTTGTGGATGGACACACACATAATACATGTATTTATCCATACGGACCGCTTTAGATCGAGGTTTTGAAATCTTAAAAACAATTTCCTTCTTCTCTTTGCAAGAATTCTTTTTCTTCGTTCTTTTTTGCGCAACGCGCTCCTTCTTCCCCCTTCTCCCCCCTCCCCCTTCCAGTCCTGCCACCCCTTCCTCAGTCCTTTTCAACAGCTCATCCTTAAAAATTTTCCATTTCCATTCTTCTGACCGCAGCGGTAATTTATCAAAAATGTTGCCGCCGCCCTAACATTTTGCATCGCAGTGCTTTTACCGCCGTGCCACCATGGATTCCTCCGGGAATTTTAGTTCTAATCAGAAATTTGAATAAATTTTCTGCTTTTTCATCCAGAAACTAACAAATTGATAGCAAAAGCTGTTATTTGGCTTGTTTGACTAACTACTTTTGCTTCAGAACTGAACTGCCTATCAACGAGCACGTGTCAGGAATGATGGATTTTAACCATCACATCAAAGAAACTCCAAAACGAGCTGCAAAAATTTATCCCGTTTTTCCCTTGAGCATTTCTGACCAGTCATGCTTGAAACCGTCAACAAATACTGACCCTCAAAAATTTCACAAACAATACACAGGCTTATGGGCAGCAGTGAGAAAAAAATGAACACGAACCGATGCTTCCTTTGAAAAACTTTGTGAGAAATCGTGCCTAAACTTTTTTTTTCAATTACTTTTTTCTATGTTATCGAAAAATTGACACAAACGCTGGCAGGTAAATTAAAAGACGCATTTTCTAACTTTTAATCTCAAAAAATGATGAAAATTTCTGTCTTATACCTTTCTTCTATCCTTTCCCCTTCAGCCAATCAAAACTTATGATAAATGTTTACTCTAAATAAATATGCTTAAAACATCAAGAAAGTCGGTAGCGGTTTTCTATTATTTTTGCTGCTTGGCAAACATCGAAGTGATATCAAAATTCGTGAAAAACTGAAAATATGAAATTGAAGAGCTTACGAATGCATGGATTGATTGGCGAGCGACTTTGCTGGTAACCTTTTGAGCAACGATTACACGTCAAACCAGTGACACCACTTTTGCAGATACACTGCCCGTTGCTCTGATTACAGCTTCGCGACAGCGATCCCACCGGATGGCAGTTACAAGCTGCAAATCCAATTCCGTGCGCTTAATTTACTCAATGAAGGGGAGTTGTGGATTCGGGATAAATTCACAAGGTTTTCGGAAGGAAATTTCTAATGATGCTGATGCCGTTTAAATAATCGGTCGATACATCAGCGGCATTGCTTGAGCTACTTTGTGTTCTTAAGGCGCAGTTACACGCAGGCCGCAGTCGTTACAGGTTTTACTGTTCCAAATTATCTGGATTCATTCATCATATCCACAGCAAGCGCTGGTCATTCCTTTAAAAGTCATCTGAATAGTCGATCTTGTAAAATAAAATAATGAGCAATAACAGTATTACATCCCAGTTTCAGTTTTTATGAAAAAACCTTTAACTTTTTATTTTGAGCGCACCAAAATAACTTTCTAAAAAGAATAGAGAGAGAATTAGAGGCAGAAAGAAAGGAAATTTATTCAATTTTCTTCTTTTCATCTGGCCAGTTAAGTAATGGTTTCATCGTTCCCAAAATATTCAACAAAAAAAAAAAAA